CTGCGTGTTTCTCGCTCGCGATATTTGTGAGGTTATAACTGTTATAAGTGCAATTATATTTCTTTCGGGCTATATGTGTGTTTCGCGCTATTATTTGAGAATTTGTGAGTGAAATCATATTTCTTGTGCTCCGTAACAAAAGTGTTTTTAGTGTTTTATTTGTGTGCTGTGTGTGTGTTTCGGGCTGTTGTTTGTGAATCGTGAATGCTATTATATTTTCTGTGCTAGTGAAGTGAAGTTTTTTGTATTATTATTGCTCTGTTGTCGTTATATGGATAAATGGAGGCGGTGCCTGGATGTTCGCGAGCCGGATGTACTGCTGTGGGTACAAAAAAATCTATATTAAGTTACAGAGAAAAAACGATAATATTAAATGTCTATAACCCTTTAGAAAAGGATCATCCCATGAAACTGAAGACTGGTTTGGTGGAAATGTGTTCTAGATATACTGGAGTAAGCGAATTATCTGTTTTCAAAATTTTAAGAGAGAAGAAAATTGAAGGAGACGTTAAGAAACCTAAAAAAGGGGGTGCAAAGAAGAAATTAATATTAAATGAAGATGAGAAAAATGCAGTTTGGCGTACAGTACATAAATCATAGAATTTATATTTTGTTTATAATTTGTTAACATTTCTTGTTTGATAGAAAAATAACTTATTTTGTTGAGATTGGTAGAGAATTGTTGTTAGTGTTTTCATTTGATAGAATCATATCATAGGATTTATATTTTGTTTTCATTCTGTAAATATTTATAGTATATCTGTTATACAAGGTTTTTGCTTTGAAACTTCGTTCTCCTTATAAAAAAAAGAATCGTAATGGGGTGCGATGAAGAGATCAGTTCACGTCTGGAACCCTGTTCCTACAAAAATCCCTTTATTCTCATAAACTATTTGTTTTAAATGTAATTTATTATAAATCCAATTCGTTATTTAAATTCCACATATGTACTACATTTCACCTCTGTACGCGCCACTGTTTATTGTTCCCTGCTCTACGATCAAGCTCGCCAGGTTAGTATTTGACGTATAACCGACCACTTCGTACACTCGATGCACCTGGCCGACTACAGCTAGTACCAGAACACAGTGCGTATGCGGCGGTATTTCAGATTTTACATTCAATTTCATTTTAAATTTGAAACGGTTCATCTTACGCCTCCTAAAAATGATGACACGATTTTCCTTTGATAAAAGACCGACAATTTTTTGCTCTACTTTGCATCGTATACGATCGTACTATAGTTGTAATATAATATTTTCTCTTAAATATTTCTATTTTAACATTTGGAACTCTTAGAAGTCCTTTAATAAAGTAGCTGTAAGTTTGAAGTCTACATCTTAAATGGGTCTTGTAACTGATCAAAAACTTTATGTCACTTTCAATACTAGATTTTTTTTCCTTTTTTGTTTTGACAAGAGAAATCCGCCTTGAAAGTTTATCGCTCATATACTAAAATTTTAGTTATATACGATTCCATTTACGTTAAAACCAGCAATTTTTATATATTTTTTAATCTACTGTGACAAGGGACACGGTTGATCCATTGTGCATTCAAACTGACATTTGTTAGTCACCTTAAAAGGGTGCTTCCTCCTTTGAAGCAATCTGGCAACGCCGAGCCTAACGATATTGCGCAGTACTGTTGTTAACGGAGAGAAACAACGTCGAAGCGATATTATTTCGATGTTGCTGGGCAGAGAGAAGTCGATATGCAGTAGTCATTAATACCGGGATGCGATGCAATCTTGATGCACTTATGTTGCCACAGAACCGGCTTAGGAGTTACGATATCTCCACGCCCGCTGAAATCGGGTCACTTTGAAATTAATTTCAATTGGAAAGGGAACTAATTCTCTATGAAGTGTACCTGGTGGAAAATTTGGATTTGGACGATTGCCGGTTCCTCTATTTAGTAACACTCGATTTAGCACATTAGTGAATTCTCAAGATAAGCCTCTTATTTCATTGTAGGTATAAATGTTACTAGAGGCTGTACGTTACATTGTAAACACCCAACATAGATAAACAGTTTAATAAAAAGGTGGTTGTTAAATTATCCTTTTTTATCTGATCGCTGGTTATCCCTCCTGTACCAATACTATGAAGTATGGTTGGTTTATAAAAAAGTATTAGTCCTAACTTAGCCGTAACTTAACCTTAATCTTAGTCCTAAAAAGTTAAATGTACAGAATGTAATGTACCGGTTTATAGAAATCCCTAGTCGTAAGGAGGTCTTAAGACATGACTTTGAAAGTTCGCATCTTTTAATTTTTCTAGGATTAAGACTAAGATCTGAGAAGTGCGCATGCACAAGTATTGCATTTCGTAGCATAGTGGTCTCCTGTCTTTGTCTATGGTGGTCGCCATTACGCCATTACCATAGTAATAGCTGTGGTAATAGGTTATATTTTTCTTTTCACTCACCAACAAAACAAATAAAATAACATTACCACAGAATATTAAACAAATATTATGCTGTGATATTACTAGCCATGCGCGTAGTCGAATCGCTCATTGGTTAATCTTAATAAAATTAGGACCACACATTGTTTTTATAAACGTGTACCTATTCTTAGGACTAATACTAAGATTAGTGTAAAGGTTAATACTAAGACTAAGACTAAGTTAGGACTAATATTTTTTTATAAACCAACCAGTACTGTTTAAGCCAGTGGCGGCTCGTGACATTGAGAATAGGTGAAGCATATTCATTGATTGACTAAAAAGAAAAAAAGCGCCGCAGTCGAAATTTTTCAAGGTCAAACGGCTTTAAATGATTCTGGAAATTTTTAGTTGCATTTGCAAAATTACCGAAAAACTGACGTTCGTGAGAAGGATTTTCATTTAGATTTTATAAAAAATAGAAATATTAGTTCGGCTTGTGAACTTCTGCGAACATTAACGCACACCGTACATGTATGTTCCAAAGAAGCTTACGACAGCCCCGCGTGACGTTCCCGAAATTGTTAAATCCATCCTTCTTCCACGTGCCCGACTTTACACCTACAATTAACCACGGCATACAGAAAAGTTTTTTAAATAAACACTTCCACACAAACCACTTATACTCCGAATACCATTCACTCCGAAACTTCCGAACGTACACGTTGTCTTTTGACTTCCCCTTTTTTCCATAAGAGAATAAGGCACAGGTCTCTCGCAATTTAAAAAATCCTTTTTGTACTGAATTTTTGATCTGGAAAATAGCGTTTCCAATACAATACATACTGGATCATACATAGGAAACATTTCTACAATTATTATACAAAACAAATATTAACTAAGAATGATGGCAACGTGCTTCCCCCACGCCGTAGTTTACTCCCGTGTTGGCCGCCTCGTTGCCATGACAACTGCCGTAAATAACGCTTCGAAGAGAAGCGAAATACAGACTGACTTCGATCTGCGTTACTTTTGCATATACTACACTTTGTATGGTACGTGGTTGATGTTCGTGCTCCACGAAGTCAATGTTTCTACTATTCTGTTTAGTTCTGCGTATTAAACGAACAAACACAATACATTTTCAATATAAAATTACACCTAAATTATAAAATTTATATAAAATTAAAATTAAAAAATAATTTTAAATTGCTCAACCAAACGGAAATTTTAGGTGAAGCGGTGCATGACTTGCGTCACCTGACGAGCCGCCACTGGTTTCAGCCTTATGAAATATGTAAATATTTCCGCAAAGCCTACGCTGGTTGATGATTTGAATCATTGAGATCATCCTCTAAGGTCACTGTTAATGAGTCGCGCATTTGCATTACAAAAGAAAACATAGGCGATGGAAATACATACTATAAAATCTAATTTGTCATAAAAATGATAAAAAAATAAATCCAAACTGGAATTATGGAAAATTTATTGTTTTTCCCTTTTTTCTACACTGTAGGAACATGATGCACGGTTTTTCTAATCCCACTGCACATTCGTAATTAAATTACGTAAATTAAAATAAAACAAGATAAACTAGTTTTAAATTTAAATAATTAAATATTAGGTATGTAAAAATGTAGGCAACGTTTAAAGGTTTTACCGCATGTAGTATGTAATTGTACATAGTTTTCGCTTCATAGTCGTCCAAAACCACCTTCTTCAGAGCTCTAATGTCAATAACCTTTGACCCACCCACGTGTTATAAATTCTGATTAACTCGATGAAGATTTGTAGTGTAAGAGGTACCTGAAGTTTTCCCATAATTATAAAAACGAGCATTTTTTACTTTGTTTTCTACTTATTTATACAATTAACCACAAATATTGAGAAGGTAGCCGAATGATAAATATAAAAAAATATTTTTTCACCTCAAAAACAGATTATTAAACAAAATGGAGCAGTTGTTTTGTTTTTTTTAAATGAAAATAAATCTCAAATATTTTATAAGTTTTTAGCGAATGTAAACAATTTTGTTTCGACTTCTGTCACCTTTTTTTAAATATACCTAAGATTGTTCGGTTTTAACATAAACAATGTTTTTAAGGTTGGGGGGTTGAAATATGTACCACACCACATTCACATTTCCTGCATTTTTTTATCTTGCGCTATATAGCCTAAGTTTAATTTTCCGAATTTCTCTGATACAGTAAATGCGTAAGCTCAATAACATTCATCAAAATGAACAGTAGCGATAAGACTTTGAATGGCCAAATAAATACAAATAAATTGCATAATACAAACAAATCATTGCATTTATTGTGGGTTAAGTACTTACATTTCGTTGTGCAATTTCAAATGAACCGCTAAGTGGCTAGAGCGCAAGCGCTAAATTATTTGATATAACCCAAAAGTGCCTCTCAAATCTATTTTCTAGTTTCTAGTAGAATTTCCACAACGAAAACTTTAATAATCTTTCTGCTCTACAAAAATAAATTAAAAATAGACTCCGCTAACAACTGAAAATCTAAAACTAGACTACTAGATTTTATATTAAGAATTCATGGGGATAAACGCTGATTATTCTTAATTTTACAAGATATTGGCAGTCAACTTACGATTACACTGTGTTCATCTATCACGGTCATCTCTTGGAAATCCATTTTTTTACTAATTTATATAACGAAGAACCCACAAATTATATAAATAAGTCTGAACACTTTGCACAAAAACAGTTCAACGTGTCTGTGTATTTACAAACATTCGCAAGGTCATCGAATATTTTGTTACGTCATGCCAGTCGATAAATGCGGTTCATTGATGGAGGTGCCATCTGTTGGAAAATGGCGAAAATGTTGTTTGCAGCAATTCAAACCCGCTGATTTTAAAATAGCTCTAAATGAACGAGGGAACTATTGAATATGTAATAACGTTTTTGTATTTTAAATCAACTTTTAATATTTTACTTGAGAAGTGGACAAAACAGATATTTTACTGTATCTTAAAGAATAGGTATGAACCGAATCACATTTCTGAATTAATTGTGATACAACTTCGGGTAAAGTATATTCACAGATTTAAGAGAATGACTACCTAGAGTTACAACCGGATTGTAAAACATGTTGGGAATTTTTAACAGATATGCACTGAATTGCATTTCAAGAATTTTTTGCTATTTAGTTTGAATTGAAAAGAATTTTTGAATTAGCACAGAAAATTATAACACAGACAATATAGCTTGGCGATAGCTATTTTGTCTGTGATTATAATTACTTACATTACATGTATCGTGTGACGACTATAATTAAAAAAACTAAGTTTATTTTAAAGATAATAAAATAAAAATAAGTAATAATATTTATGTTCATTTACATTATATTTTTTTAATAAAGAATAAAGTAAGCATATAATTATTAAATATAAAAATTTATTCATTTAATTCGGATTCTGATTCTTAATAAAAAAAATAAACTAACAGGTTTATCAGGTTACCTTTTTCTGCATATAAAACGTACGAAAAAACTCCTAAATTTTAAAAATCATTCAGTTGAAGTTATGTCTGGCCAAAGTTGTTCGAAGCAGAAAAAATGTGGTTGCTCAAAACTCGAGTCAGTATATCATTGCATTAATCTCTCTGTCATATTCGTTATATGAATGTTCAATAGCTTTAACACGAGAAACATAGTTTTTCCAGCTATTCACAGGCACTTCGTTCTTTGTTCACTTCACTAAGAATAAGATATAGTACACACGTGTTTAGAGTGAGAAATCGATATTCGTTCCAATTTTCCATATGGTTCTCATTGGAATGTTTGTTAATTTGGACACGTTCTTGGTTCACAAGAACTATTGAAATGACTATGACAAGAATCTCATTTATTTATTATCTCAATAGAAACACCTTTCTTGCAAATTGATTCCCAAAAAGAAATTATTTCAAGCATGACCTTACGTTGGCAAAAAACGGCAACTAACCTCTAATCGACGAAGGTGGTCAGTCTATTAAATCTACAAATGTACTTTACTATAAAGCATTACTTGCGTCACTTTATTTTACAATCCAAAGACTTACTTAATTACTAAATTTTTTAGGCGTTCGGTATCGGTACATTATTTGTAAAACTAAGGGGATAAACACATTTTCAGGTGTGGAGCCTAATTGGGGTCATTCTTATTACCTATATGACCAATTTAATAAATATTAAGAAACTGAACTCCCAACAAGCGGTTAACGAGGGTCAAACGTTGTGTAACTTCTGTAGTCAAATACTTATTTTGTTGTCCCCTTAGAATTCCAGTGATATTTATGACCTAACGCTTCCCAAGGGAATGCTTACTAAAAATAATGGGAGCTTACATGATTGGGTAATGTCATCCTCTTGTGGAATTGTCTGTTGCTACATTTAGATAATGAGGAACGTCTGTTTATCATGGGCGTAGCTATAACTTTTGCTTGGGGTGGGCCCAGGCCTGCAAGCTGTATGGAGACCTCTACCAAAAAAAAAAGTCTACGATTACAATCCGACTTACCAATATCAAATTTGAACACGTTTCGATTTGATTCTAAAAAAGAACCGCCTTATCGATATGGCAAAGATAAGACGTGAATATTATATATTTTTCTGGGGTGGGCACCGGGCTCTCTGAGGTGCACACCCCTGCCCCCCGCTAGATACGCCCATGCTGTTTATTATTATGGATTTATACTTTTGGGGGCCATATAATAGATAAATACAGCGTGTTAGAAGTTTGACTGCCTTAATTTTAACAGACGATAGAATAGGTACATTAAAATAAACAAAAAAAACCTTATATGGTATGGGTCCTAAACTCGACCATTTCCGAGAAAAAAAAATCAAAATCTCCAACTTGATGTATAAAAGTTCGATTAATTAAGGAATGTTAATTAATTATGCTTAATTCTAAAAAATAATTAGAGTTGCAATAAATTTAAAATTCGATAAAATTCATATCGAGCAATGTGACAATATTAACACGAGGTACTAAGCTGTCCATCAATACGCAGTTCAGTTGGTGTTGGTATCTGGAATTGTACCGTGTCGGAGTGTTTTTTGCGTATCACTATTTCCTTTTCTTGGGGTGTTTTCCAGCGAGTGCGCGAAAATTGGATTCGAAGGTGTCGTGCGTGCATCGAAAATGGTGGTTGATATTTTGAGCATATGTTGTAGTTTTTTTTATACTTGTGCGTTTAAATTACTGAATTTTGCTTTTTGGTAAGTATCTAAATTATTTTTAATACGTATGATTATTTGGACGACGTGAATCTTTGGGTAGTTTAATTACATATTTTTTAAATACGTAAGTTCCTGTTTTAAGAGATTCATAATTACTAAAATTATTACTTACTTTAAATTATTTTATTTTATTTATTTAAAAACTGGAAAACAATTGTCTTGAAATTTGCTATATGTTTCACAATAACAGCTGTTTACATTTTTTCCGTAGGACAAGTCTGACGCGTGTACACGTGGTGTGCAGGTTAAGCGCTGTTGACACGTTGTGATGAAACTCCCCAATATTAATAACTCGCTGTATTTTGAAAAATGTTAATCTTACGAACCTGTAATATCAAACTTTTTTGTTCATTTATGATTACTCTATCTCATGCTGAAGTAGTGGAAGTCAAATTTATTACACCCTGTATAATATATACTTTTTTCTAATTTCAAATAGATGTTTTTGGAAACCAGTCTAATGAATATCCTTTTCAGGTTTTCAAAACGGGACCACCATGTGTTTGCAGCAAATGTAAAATTATATGGCAATATTGACATTCTGTTTATTATGAAAAGTCTCCACAATACATCTGGATACTACAGGAAACATATGGGTTTATTGATTCGATGTATTAGTATAAATTTCACAGAGATAAACAGTTTAGTCGCTTTACAACGGAACAGGAAATCAGATTCATAAACCTAAAAACATGTTTTATACATATTGTTCGTCAAAGGGGAAACCGCTGGGCAAAATGGCACTAGTCATTTTCATAATTAAATTATGAAATATTATTCAGAAGTAATAGAAAATGCCTATACAACAAATTATTCCTGCTGTTTCTCCTTCGTTGTTCACGTACCTAGTTTAAAAAAACAAAATAATATTTTAACTTTCTTTGAATAATAAATTTATTTTCTGCTTCTCAAAATATTTATTTACTACATTCACCTAGAAAATTTCAGTTAATGAAATTGTTACTTTTTAGATTTCATATACAGAGTGATTTAAATTAAACCGACATACAGGCTGAGAAAAATGTATATAATATATTCTGACGAAAATGAAAATATAAGTCCAAAAATTATTTTTTGGAAAACTGTTATTGGCATTGTAATAATGTTTCCGAAGTGTCAACTAAACATTTTACTTGACTGGAATGAAAAAGACTTTTTTACTTTAATTGAACAAATTTTGCAACTCAAATGAATCAACTGCCATGATTTTCTTAGTTCGAAAAGTCGACAATGGTATACATAACCTTTTAAAACAGTATCGTGTTTTGAAGTTCCAATAATGGAGCAAGTGTTATTTTTCCATCAAGAATAGACCTTGGTGGAGTAACTGAATCAGAAATCTTAACCACTTTTGTAGCAATTCCATTTGAAAGTTGAATTTTATTTTCAACAGAGTTCAAGCAAGTTCTAACCCCCATGTCTTTTGATGGAGATAATATATGCCCTATAACCTGCTAAAATCGTCGAAAAAGAGCGTATATGAAAGAGTGACCCGTATAAGCTTTGTTCATATGCATCAGAAACAGTTGCCAACAGCGAGACGCAGTCGCAGTTGAATCGAAACATTGAATTTTGAAAAGCATTATATCGGAATGCGCATGCGCTTGACTGTAGGAAACTGTTCTGGATTGCTCTAGGAACAAAGCTATAGTCTTTCGGAAGCGGCAATTTCAAATATTTACTCTAATAGTGCGTTTAAGAAATACATTTGAAATGACAAATGTTCTCTGCTTGTGAGTACCTATGTGTCTTACTGTTAGGAATTTTAATGACGAACACATAACCTCCATCTATATCTTGTAATATCATATTTAGCTGGTCTTCTCTTCTATAAGGCCCGTGAATAACCATTTTTTAAATAATTTGAAAAAAAATCTTTTGAGAATATACTTGTATAAATATTTTCTTTAACATTCATGTATGTATTGTTTAACATAGAGTAAATTGAGCATAATTTCTTAATAAGTATTCAAAGAATTACTCAACTCGAGGTATACCAAATATAGCGATCAAACCCAAATGATTATACTTTGTATGGTTTCTATTATTACTTACCCTACGGCATTCTGGAGCCTGATGGATTTCGCCAATTTTAAAAATATTAGGAAACAGTTTTTGAAAAAATATTTTTTGATTCACAGTTGTCAAGAAGCTTTTACCTTTTCGATTGCATCATTTGGTGTCACCTTTGTTGGCTGCCTCTTGTTCGATGCCATTCTTGTGCTATGTAAAAGATTTTTTTGTAATGAGCGTAAAACAGTAGACATCGAGCGATTTTGTTATTAACTGTTAGTATATTGCTACAATGGCATATATAACAGTAATCACCAATGGACGGATATGCTGTTGGTGTACGGTAAATGTGGACAAAATGTTAGAGACGCAGAACAGACGTACACGCCATACGCGGTCAATCACAATCCTAACGTGACGTGTGTTGCCTAGTTTCCGTCTCAACTTCAACATTTCTTAATACAGTATTTATTTATTTTCTTGTGAGATACGGTTTA